CCGGTTGGCCGTAGCTCATCAAATTTTGTTATTACTGTCTCTTATACACATCTAGATGTGTATAAGAGACAGGTGTGTGTGTGTGTGTGTGTGTGTGTGTGTGTGTGCGTGTGTGTGTGAATGTCTCTGGTCTCTCTCCTCTTGCCCTCGGTCTCTCCCTGTCTTACACCTAAGCCCTAGCTATTGTGCCCTGCGCCGTTGACTACTCTACGGTCTCCAGCCAAGTCACACTCGAAGTTGGTTGCACGAGCAAACAGCAGAGCTTCTACAACAACCTGAATGGAAAAGTGTGTATCTGTTTGCTGTAGGTGCTCTTTTGTAGTTGCCGCAGTTCACAATCTCGGACTTCTCATACTGGCACTGGGACCTGGTCTTTTGGCCGCGGTTCCTTGTCGCTTTCGGATGTTACCAGACCTCCCTTGGATTCCGCTGCAATTTTTGGGACTTGGATTTTCGTCGGAGACTGGACTCCTATCACCTACTGAGAACTTCTACAGACATACCAGACCCTACAGTGGCAATTTGAGTTAAGGGCCTACCAGCTAGGGTACATGGGACGGGGGGTGTTTGGGACTGGGGCACTGGGGCCTACAGTGGCAATTTGAGTTAAGGGCCTACCAGTTGGGCTAGGGTACATGGGAGGGGGGGGCTTTGGGACTGGGGCACTGGGGCTGAAGCTTAGGCTTAGGAAAGCATGAAATCCTTTCACTCCCGCTGGCGTAACTTCGAGGTCCACCGAGAAAAAGCTATGACTCTTCCTATCTATCTGCAATACGTACACCTCTCTTAGCCCGTTCATAGTGAGAAACCATGTCAGGGGCTGTCTCCTTCAACTCATTCCTAGTGTACCATCTGTCATCTTCGGGTTCTTGGAACCGGATCTTACACTGCGGTTGTGGTCTTCCCTTTCTCTCGGATCTGTAGACATCCTCTTCTACTATACTGTCTATATTACATTATGTACACCTCTCTTAGCCCGTTCATAGTGAGAAACCATGTCACTTGCTGTCTCCTTCAACTCATTCCTAGTGTACCATCTGTCATCTTCGGGTTCTTGGAACCGGATCTTATACTGCGGCTGTGGTCTTCCCTTTCTCTCGTATCTGTGGACATCCTCTTCTACTATCCTGTCTATATTACACTGACCATCCATGTTAGGGGGAATCATTGATCTGTGTGATGGAAAGGAGTTGTTTGTCACGCAAGGCAGTAGCTTAGAATCTTAGATGCATGGAACAGGATATGTACGCAGGTGGGGAGGTATAACGATCACGTAAGATAGACCATCTGCATCGCCTATCACGTCCAGCATTTCCCACGTCCTCTGAGAAATCCCTTCCACGCGTACAAACTCTTAGATATTACCCATCCAAAATCTCAAGCAGCGAACCTATGCTCTTTCATTTGCCACTACCGTTTTCCGCAACTTTCTGGAGGTCTTTCTTGTACTTCAATGCAAACTCACATGTTCTGGGTGGCAGCCTTTGAACTTGATCAAGGTTTAGACAGTCATGTTCTGGGTGGCAGCCTTTGAACTTGATCGAGGTAGTCTATTGGTCTTCATGGCTTTGAACCCTTCTGCAATTCATTTGGTGTTTGCCCGTGGAGATAAATGCGCAAAATTTGTGCATGCACTAGCTACCTTAGGCAAGTAATCGTCCCAATCGATATATTCTACTCTATTATACATATGTTGAGTCTGCGGTAACAGCTTGTTCATCTGTTCTATCTGTCCGTTAGTCTCAGGGTTGGACGTCATGGTTAACTTTCACCCGTATACTTTTACCTGTTGCCAGTGTTCTCCTGTGAACCTATTATCGCTCACTATAGTTACAGGTGGACCATTATCTTTGACCCAGTGAGCAAAGAATTTGCAATTACCCAGTCTCTTTTTGCCTCAAGCGGCAGCGATACAAATGCTGCGAGCTTGTCCTTCGGGACATCTGTTAAAATTGGAAGGATACAGAGAAGATTAGCATGGCCCCTGTGCAAGGATGACACGTGTAATTGTCCTTCAGGACATCCGTTAAAATTGGAACGATACTGAGAAGATTAGCATGGCCCCTGTGCAAGGATGACATGCACAAATCGAGAAGTGGTCCAACAGAAAAAAAAAGGATGACACGCATAAATCCTATGTTGGGCCGTCGCCCGGCCGGGCACGCCAGGCACGCCCGGGCCAGTCGGGCAAAGGGGGGGTTGCCCGGCAAAACCAGACGGGTCAAAAAAGAGGCAAGGATCCCAACAAAAAACAAAAAGACTCCAGGCCAGGACTGCGCTTGGCCCAAGCAGTCAGAATCCGGTCTTAACTTCGGTTTTGGTGATGGGTCATCCAGGGGGGGTTGTGGGGTATAAACAGTGACTAAAGGGCTTAAAAGGGCACATTTGGAGTCTTTTGGGACTCATGTTTGCCCATTTATTTTTTATCTTGAAATTAACAAGGAATTTCGAGGTGGCCCTCAGCCAAAAGTCGTTTGCATTGCAATTTTACACAACATATTTTTTTTTCGGATTTTTTTTTTTTTTTTTTTTTCTATTTTTTTAAAATATTATGCGCTGGGATCGCCCGGGACCCTGCCCGGGCCCTGCCCGGTCCGGGCCGCCCGGGAGGGTACCCGGGTGACCTTTCCCCAGCCGGTCCGCCCGGGGACTAACACAGCATAAATCAAGAAATGGTCCAAATTAAAAAAAAAAAAAAAAAAAAAATGCTGCGAGCTTACTCAGCTTAGTGAAGCAGTTTACAACAACCATTACTTGGTTATTTCCTTTTCTACTCGTAACCTTTGTACCCATGAAGTCAATAGTTATAAAATCTTCACGTCCTGAGCATATAGGCAAGGGTTTTAGCAGTCCAAGCAGGGGCTGTGTCGTTCTCTTATTCCTTTGGCATACTTTGCATCCTTCGATGTATCGGATGCAGTCGGCTTGCATACGGCTCACTTGTACACCCTGAACCGGTTCGTGTAAGTCTTCCTCCGTCCAAAAGCCCTTTTATGTCATGGAAGTTGATTGAACTCTCCCAGTATTAGGCATTAATTTCTTTACTACGGGATACATAGTCTGTCTTCACAGCTCGAAGTCAGAAACAACAGCCCATCTACATAGTCTAACAGCTCGAACCAGAAACAACAGCCCATCTACATAGTCTGTCTTCACAGCTCGAAGTCAGAAACAACAGCCCATCAGCTACCGTGTACTTAGATACTTTGCGGGGTTTCTTTACTACTCTTGCTATTATAGCACTCAGAATCTGATGGTTTGCATATGCAACCTTTATCCGTTGCTGTAGCTCCTTATTGGCATCAAGATCAGTGACAATCGTTCAAGAAAAGCAACTTTTCCGCACTTGCAAGCTGCCTCGGCTGGCCCCGTGCTGCATGGCTCGCAAGCGCACACAGTATCTCATCTGTCAGGAAAGTTGAAAAAGTCAGCTCCCCTAGACAACACATTAGCTACAACCACTGCTGTAAGCCCGGAACGATTGGGGGCCCCTCCCCCAATCGGAACCGGCCCGGTCTTACCAGCCTGTCGACCGGGCCGCCGGTTCCCCCCCCGGTTGGCCGTAGCTCATCAAATTTTGTTATTATTATTATTATTATTATTATTATTATTATTATTATTATCATTATTATTATCATTTAAGCCCAGGATGTTGTAGAGGCCAAGGACTAGACCCACGGTGACAGATGGTCGATCGAGCGATGTATGTGGAGCCAAGGGATCCGCAAAGTGATGAAAAGGGCTCAAATGGACAATGCAGCATCAGCGAAGCATCAACAAGATATGTACATCCAGATACATACAAAAATAGCATAATGTAGGGCAGCGGAAGACTCAAAGATATGACCTCACCTGTCAGCCCATGACACACCACACATGAGAGAGAGGAGGAGGGACCACATGCATAGATGAAAGGTCCCTCCTTTGATACACACATGGGGAGATGCCACGGATGAGGTGAGGATGAAAGGGCGAGAGGAAGATGGAGATGAGGGAGAAGACCAAGATCGCAATAGTGAAGTCCAAACATAGTCTCCCTGCCGAATGTCCAATCAATGTCTGCCGCAAAAATGTCGAACCAGATCCTGGGCCGCATAGCCCATCATAACCTCTGCCTATAATCTCTCTCTCCCTCTCTCTGAAAGAAGAAGAAGAAGGAGGAGGAGGAGGAGGAAGAAGAAGAAGAGATGGAGGGCGAGGACAGGAGAAGAAGAAGATGTCGTCGTCCTCGCTGTCTCACCTGCAGGTAACTGCCGCCATATACTAACGCACCAGCGTGTCCTCTGTGCTGCAGGCAGCTGGCGGGAAGTCCAGCTATGGCACCCAGGTAAGTCCTCCGCCGATGCAGGTATGGCCACCGCCTCTCTTCCATACCTACTCCTCCAACTCTAGCGCAGCACTGTATCGTGCTGCTCCAGCAGCGTGTCGCCCAAGAAGTGAGATACTTGAACTGTGTCGTAGAGCTGGGCCTGGATGCAATGCCCAAGTCCTGCTCTAGGTCCTAGGTGTAAGCGGACCCACCAGGTGTGGTGCTCCGCTAGTGACAGAGATGGAGATGGAGGAAGAAGGGGGGAGCAAGATGGCACAACGCAGCTCCCCACGCAAGACTCCAACGCACGTACTCCAAAATGTGCAAGTGAGGAATGAGACTGAAAAGAGACAATGGCTGGGGTATACCCCAGCGGACTGACGGGACTGGACTGGACTGGCTGGTACCGACAGAGGTACCGGCTTGGACTGGCCTACCCCGAATATAACACAGGCCTGTGAGAACAGGCCAAGGGGCTGGTC